TGGGCACCTATGCCCCATAGCTTCCCCACTGCATACATTTGGTCTGATTCAACATGGCACCTCTGAGAGCCAGAGGTTCTTGTGTCCTTTCCACATTCCTTCCTACTGAGCTAGGGCAGCGTTCATTTCCGGAAGCAGGCCAGCCCCGAAGCAGCAGTGTGCCATGGAACAGCGGCCTCTTCCAAAGGGCAGTCCTGTGCGCCATGACCCCTCCAGAGCCCAGAAGCCTCTGGCCATAGCAGGTGAAGCCTTCCTTTGCACTGAAGCAGTAGGCGTGCGCTCGAGCTGGATTCCTCCAGATCGCAGAGTGGAGCAGCACGACACTTTGCTGGCAATTTTCATCTGTACAGACGAGAATCAGTTTCTGCCTGGAAAAGGGCTTTCCAGAACTGTCGGCGTCATGACTGCTTTCGCTGTTGAGATGGAGCAAGATAGACACCGGCTGAAATCAGTCCAAAGAAGAAACCGAAGGAATCTCTCATGCACTCTTTTCCCCTTTGACAGATTTCATGAAAGCTTCTAGAATCCTCTTGACGCTCGCTACTGTGGCTGGCTTCATCGCAGCTTTCTCCCTGCTGATCTCCTCTCAATGCCTGAGACGCTGTGGGGGACCACCCAATATGCTGATTTCCTCGGCAGCAAGTTTTGCTACAGGTTGGTTGATCCATCAACCCAGAAACGAAACAGAACATGGGGGGATGCAGGGCATGCACATGGACACACAAATCCACGTCTTCATATTTGGGTGCGATCATAACATAAATAAGTAATGCCAGCTTGCTGGATTGTCTCCTAACATTCTCCATAATTTGCAAGGGGGCAGCAGGCAGCTTCCATGATTAAGGCCAACATGGCTCACACATCCCTGTTCAAATGTTATACGTGCAAATGTATGGGATGTGAATGCAGCTGTCCCTAGGTGCTGCCTGGCTTGCTGCCTGTTACTCCACACTGGCTCACAAAGGAAGTCGCCAGTGCCGTTCCTCTAATGTTTTCCCTCTTGCCTCGTGTTAGCAATCCTCGGATTTGCCACCATGGCCTTATATACAGTGGATGTTACCCAGAAAGAGATGAGCTCTGTTGGGAGCCTTCATTTCACGTGGAGCTTCTGCCTTGCCTGGCTGGTGTTCACCCTCTACGTCATGAACGGTGAGTTTCCATGCTGGGGCCATTGCCTTGGGCCACATGTACCCCAACAGCCCCTCAGCCTTCTCCACTCTGTTTTGTGGGCTTTTCTCCACACTTCTTTAAGAGGGACTGACTGTTCCCCACACTTCCTGAGGCAGCATTTGCCAGCAGAACAGGCTCATTTACAAGGAGGACCCAAAACCCCCCAGGAATTTATTTATTAAAAATTGTGCATTTATTTTCACATGTTCAAACTTGAGTCACCTTCAAAGAACTCTCCACTTGATGCAATGCACGCACCTATCAAGACTTTTTTCCACTGCTCAAAACAAGTTTTGACCTTGTCGATTTTGATGCCTTTTAGTGCTTCTGCCATTTTTGGTTTCACCTCTTCCACATCAGCAAAACATTTCCCTTTGAGGACTTTTTCTTCTGGGGAAACAAAAAGAGCCACACGGGGTGAGATCAGGTGAATAGGAAGGGTGGGGCACAAGGATCCTGCTGGTTTTGGCCAGAAACTTCTGATCACTCAGCTGAACGAAATTTCACTGCTGCATGTTGTTCGTGCAAATCGGCCATCAGGAAATAGGCTAACCTGTTGAAAGAGTCTCCAAAAAAATCTCACTGAAGATGAGTGCAACCTCTCACCACAACCCAGCTGTGTGCACTGATGCTAAAGGGTTCCTGGAATACTCGCCTAGCAGGGGAAGCCTGTGCTACAAGGGGCCCACCCCCCAGAAGATGGTTCCTGGGAGTTTTGGGTCCCCCCTTGTAGGAGCCCTGTGGTCCGTGTGAGACTAGCCAGCTCAAAGGAAGGCAGCCCTCTTCTTAAGCCTCACCTTTGAACTGCTGTTTGTTGCTGCAAACAGGCCTTCCAGCCCCAGGTACCACGGGGAACGCCTGTTCCCCTTTCAGCTTCCCTGGAAGCCTGCCTTGCCCATTACCTTAATGCACACCTGATCCCCTGTGGAAGCAGGCAATCCAGGCCTCAGCAAGGCCAGCGATGCCTTAGCAGGACACGCTGCTCTCTGGTGCATGCGGGCGCCATGTCTGTCCTTCATATCCTGAGAGTGAAAAGCCCGGGGAACCACTTCTGTGACTAGGACAGAGATCCAGATTCTAGTCCCCACTCAGTGACTGACCCTGAGGAGGCCTCAGACTCCCAGCACGTACAGGGTGGCTGTTGTGAGGATAAAGTGGAGAGGAGGAGAACTTGTGTTCCTGGCAAGAGGAAGAAAAGCAGGGCACAAATTCAGGGGCCGCATGGGCAGAAAGGGAAGACGGGGCGGGGGGAATGCTACCTTCAGCCGGGTGGACCATGCTTGATCCAGAGAAGAAGGGGTAGATTTGGTATGTGGAAACAGATGCAGGAGAGAAAGCATATGCCTCCGCTAGCACTGCAGTTCCCTGTTCCGGCATAACGAACAGAGGGGAATGGAGGCAGCTCTCCGCACCCACATGCAAATGGTGGGAAATATTTGGAGAAGGTGCTGTGCAGCTGGCTTCCTTTCTGGCTGATGGTGGGAAGGGGACATTTTGAGAGGGAGAGAAAATCTAATATGCTTATACAAATATGTCTGTTGAGAAATTGTGGCTCAGCCCTGTAAGGAAACATTTTGGATAGCAAATTGGTGGAGGGCTGAAGCTGCCGCATGGCTCCAGCAGCCAGGAGCAGAGGAGTCCCGTGGCAATAAAAGGAGACTGGCAAAGGCAAAGGTGTCATTGAACCCCTGCTGGACTGCCGTGTGTGTGTAGCGGGTAGGATGCATTCTCACTGATGCACCACAAAGAGGGATGGATGGAAGGACCCATCCATTTGGATTGCTCATTTTTCCCCTCTTAAATTCAGTCATCCTGGACAGGTAGATGTTCTCAGAGTTTGTGTGAAACATCCCTTATGGTTTATCCTCTGCAGGTTTCTTTAGCCTAATGGCACATCACCTGTGTGCAGAATCTGGCAATGAGCAACGCAACAGCCACATCCTCTTGGGAGCAAGAATGCAGCCACGGGAAGCCGGGGACCACAGTGCTGTGGGGTTGTCAGTTCCGCCAAGTCAGGAAGCAGCAGGCCCTTCTGCAAGAAATCCCTTTCCAGGCCCTTCCATCTGTCTTACCTCCACAGTCATCTAAGTTTTCCCACTGAATATTCACATGGACACAGACTGGCCAACTGGCGTTTGCATCACTTCATTGCAATATATGTATTTCTTCTGCCACCTGCTGGAATAAGCCAATTCTGGGTGTGTATTCCCTTTCTCTCTTAGCAGCTTCACTACGTCTAGATGGATACAGCTGATGGACAAGGGCTTTTTTCAAGAAGTTGAAGGCAGAAGAAGCCATCATCACCAGCAGTGGGCACACTCCCTCTTCAGTCATCTCTGAGTTCAAGGTTTTAAAGATGCTTCAAAAACCTGCAGGTCCTGTTTGACATGCACAGACCGTGGGGCAAGGACGCAACTTTTCTGCATCAAGAGGAAGCCATGGCTCCATTGGCACCTCCTTTTTCATGCTGGCTCCACCCTCCGTCTGTCCAGGCCCATCACTCTGGTGCCAAAGGGGAAATGGGGAGCAGGTGCCAATTGTCCGATGACTAACTGCCCAGCTGGCAGGAGACAGAGCAGACTGCAGGAGGCTGCTTCCCGGCGCATCTTGATGCTTCGTAGTTTGCTGCTCTTCACTCCAACCTGTAGGAGGAGACAGGCTGTTGCTTCCAGCTATTGACCAGCATCCTGCCTAGGATGGGACTTTGGAGAAATTCCATGCCCTGGACTCCACTGTAACATTCTCTGTACTGAGTCTTCTGCTGTTTTGAATGGCTGTTTGAGAAGGCTATTGATTTATATATCTTGATTTATATATTTTCTTTGTTTAACATTCTTGATTTATATATCTTCTTTGTTTAAGACAAGTGCAATTTTCTCGTTTGCATTGTTTATTATTGTTATCTTATTATGCTCATCTTTGTTTATCATTGTCTTTTTTATTTTATTTATTTCCCTTTTTTAGGAATGGTGGACTTGATACCTGTTCAAATACTGTATGTGTTTCTTTTCTGGAAATAAGGCAGGTTACATGTTGTTGCAATAAATGAAATAAACAATAATATTGATAAGCAAGTCTTCGGTTGGGAATGCAGGAGCTTTTCACCTGTACCTTCAAGCTTCCTCCACCTAAGAAAAAGAAAGCAAATGCATTGATACAAGATGGGGAATATGTGGCTCAACAGAATTGAAAAGGAAAAGATCTTGGGGTAGGTATGGACAAGAGGCTAAACATGAGCCAACAATGCAATGCAGCTGCCAAAAGAGCAAATGTCATTTTAGGATGCATTAACAGAAGTATTGCTTCCACATCACGGGAAGTATAGTTCCTCTATACTCCTCACTAGTCAGACCTCACCTGGAATACTGAGTCCAGTTCTGGGCACCAAGTTTTAAGAAAGATGCAGAAAAATTAGAAAGGGTCCAGCGGAGGGCAACAAAAATGATCCAGGGTTTGGAAGCACTATGAGGAGAGATGGAGAGAACTGGGCATGTTCAGCCTTGAGAAGAGAAGACTGAGGGGGGACATGACACCCCTCTATAAGTACCTCAAAGGCTGTCACAAAGAGGAAGTCAGGATCTCTTCTTGCTGATGGCAGAGTGAAGGACATGGAATAATCAGTTCCAGTTGCGACAACCCAGATTCAGGCTGGGCATCAGGAAAAGCTTCCTCATGGTCAGAGCAATGCAGCAGTGGAACCAGCTGCCTGGAGAGGTGGGACTGACAGCAAACACTATAAATGATCCTCCCATCTGAAGTCCCACTTCATTGGCTCTTTCTGTTTCAGCGTCTCCCACCACACAAACCATGCTTTCCTCCTAGCAGACCTCAGACCTTACATACTTCTTGCTCTTGAGCCAGCATCTTCCTGAAATAATATTTTTTTACACTGAAACTCCGGTAAGGATGGCAATCATTTGGGTCCTCTTTAATCCTCCCTTGGGAGAAAATAAGGTCTGGGGAAAGGGAGGTTCCACGAGCGTAAGCTAGCCTTTCTGGGGACTGCCCCCCACCCTGCTTTGCAACTCAGACACAATCATGATTCCCCTTTCCATGAGGGATGGGGTGAATTTCTGCCTATTTCCCAAAGACCAGCTGAGCTTGGGCTGCCAGATAGCTACCCAGAGAACCCTTCTGACTCAGTAATAGTTCCACAACCTGGAAGAGACAAATCTGCAGTGCAAAGACATGTAAACTACTGTGTGTGTTTCTACGCACTTCACCTTAAAGGTTGGTTTGTAGCACTTTGCAGCAAAGTGTAACTCCAAGGCCTGAAGGCCTGCATGTGAGGAAAGGAAAAGGCAAGTACAGGGAAACATGACAGAGGTGTACAAAATGAGGCCTGATGTGAAGCAAGTATGTGAAAAAAGATGGGGTGGGATAGGAAGACATTTTTCTCCGTATTCTACAGAGGCAATTACGGCGTGGCTACTCATGGGCGAAGAAAACCATAAGGGAAGTGGAAGATGTGTGCTCAGAAGATTTAGACTGGGAGCAGAGAGACTGGAATGGAGCCATGGATACCGTATAGATACCCTAACTCTGCTCTCTGTTTCATTTCAAATACAGAACAAAGACACGTATCCTGCAGGGCACTGCCACAGTTCCAGAGAAGAGATCCAGGTAGGAATGCTTCTGAAATTCCTTTCATCCAACTGACCCGTGTTTCTAGACAACAGTGTCCACTGATCTTGATCTCCAAAGTGGAATTGATACATCACGAATTTTATTATTTATTTATTTATTTAAAGCTTTCATAAACTGCCCCTCTACTAGTGTCCTGGGACAGTTTACAACAAACAAACTGGAATTCTCCATTGCTCTGTTCTGTTTTGCTTTTTAGTTTCCTTTTACCTCCCTTGTGCTATTTGTCTAAATTTCACCCCTCCCAGTAGAGAGGAGAGCCAGATGCTGGGTTTTTCCACAGAGCCAACGGAGTGCCCCTCTGCTGTACTCCAGTTGGATGAATGTTGCCAGAGAGCTCCCTATCCCATTTCCAGACAGGGATGGACAAACCAGTCAATTCTGATTCCACTTGCTGTCTCATTTTCTAAGACTAAGTTCTTTGTGTCACATTTCTGCATTAACTTGCACAATTCCTGCAGAATCTATTGTCCTAGACAAATGCACAACTTGCCGTGGGAGCATCCTGGCTCACAACCAACTGCTCAACAAGGTGCACAAGTATATGAAGAATTCAATGAAAAATGGAAAGCCTATTATATGCAATTCACTTCATAACAAAAACAGTGCTTGTAAAATATCATTAGTGAGTTATAATTCTAATATAAATGCTTTGCTATTATTTAAAATTAATTTTTAAAGGAATGGAAAATAAGTATTAAGAATAAATAAGAACAGTTGTTTTATGAGTTTCAATTAAGTACTAATCAATTGAATGGAGTGTTTTTTTAACCTTTTATATATTGTATTTTTGACTTGTACTTCTCCTCAGACTTGGGGATTCTTCTAATAAGTCAGTGAGATATCAGAGGTGTGAAAAAAAGGCTGTAAGCAGGAAGTGGTTCAAGGTGATGTTCAAAGAACGTTCTGCGAACTTAACCCCAGTATGAGAGCCAGTGTGGTGTAGTGGTTAAGAGCCTGGGACTGGGACTCAGGTGATCTGGGTTCTAGTCCCCACTCAGCCATGGAGCCAACTGGGTGACTTTGGGCCAGCCACAGACTCTCAGCCCAACCTACCTCACAGGGTTGTTGCTGTGGGGATAGGATGGAGGAGGAGATGTAAGCTGCCTTGGGCCCTTTGTAGGAAAAAGGCAGGATATAAATAGAAAATAAATAAATAAAACCCCCCTCCCCCATTGTCCTATGGAACAAGCCAGTGCATTAATTGGCATCTTGCATTTGCCACTCCAACTGCTTTCACATGCTCTTGTCGGGAAGCCGGCTAGCCCAGCTCCAGCTGCTGGGGATACTGGTCTTCTGGGCAGGGTTATCTCCTCCCTCTGCCTAGAGATGGCCCACGATGGCAGCTGGGACTTTCTGCATGAAAAGCAGCTGTTCTTCTTTAGAGATGCAGACCTCCCCCCCCCCCCCCCAGCATGCCAGGATAAAAAGCCACCTGCCAGGGACATGTGAGGTGTTCTGTGAATTCGCACCTCCTTGCAGCCAGACCTGGCATTCTAGCCCTTGCCGAAATGAGCTCCAGTGCCAGTGTGGGACTGGCCGGGCAGCACACCTCCAAGCAGCGGTGCTCTCAGGACAGGACTCTGGGGGAGGCCTCTTGGGGGGCGGGGGGACCTTTCTCAGGAGAATGGGCAGCCAGGTGCTGAAATGCATCAGGGCCGGCTTGCCACATTTTGCAAGACGTGCTGTCTAAACTGGAGGCCCACGTCAAGTCCAGAGACTAAAATAGCCCAACTGCAGCACTGCGCAGAGTGGCTTTTTACGCAGAGGGACAAAACCCAGACGTGTTCCTAAGATGCGTGGCTAGAGAACTTTAAAAGTGCCTGTGCCACAAGCACCTTTGCTGGTCCTCTTGGTTTTTGACACAAGCCCAGAAGCAACACACACCCGGCCAGCAGAACTGGAGATTTCTTTGATTTCCCGCCCAGGCTGGGTGGCAACCTAGAATGCCGCATCTGCTCATGAAAAGAAGTCAGGTAATCCGTCTTCTCCCAGCACACACATGCTCCTTCCAGAGAAGAGGAGAGAGACTTGCTTCTTCTCCAAGAGGGTTTTATTGAAATTCTCAGGACAGCTCTCTTCAGCCTGGACTACTGTTCCCATCATATCAAGCCTACATGGCCATTTGGTGGAGATGATGGCACTTGAGCCCAACACATCCAGAGGGTGCCAAGTAAGGAAGTCTGTTCTTTGCTCAGGAGAGAGCAATGGTTAGATTTTAGCCTGCTTTCAAGAGACAACATTGGCAGGAAGTGCTCACCTCCCAGACTGAAAGAATCTGAATGACTAAGAAGGAGGCCACGGGTGCGAAAGCCACAGAGAGTGACATTTTCATGAGAAATGCTGGGACCAGAACTTCCCCCCATAGCAGAGAAACTAGCAGACACGTGTGACGCTGGAAAATTGGCTCCTTTTTTTGCTAAAGAGACTTTTGACTAATTTTTGACCTGACAAAGGTAGGCTGAGTCAGAGGGGTGGGTTTTGGCTACTGTCTGAAGTATTTGCACAAACCTGGAGCAAAGATCTGTGTTACTCTAGTGCAAATTGCAGAATGGCAGCTGGATTTTAAAAGCTGGATATCCCTGGCTGTAAATTGCGGCCTGTTTTAAAAAGCAGAAATCCACATGCTGGCATGATTTGTGTCAGATCAAGTCAGAACTATTGCAGGTCAACAGAACCGAATCCATGAGGATGGGTTCAGAAAATCCATCAGATTCTCACCCTCCAGTCTGAGTTCCCACACATTGTTAGAAAAAGAAAGAAGCCAAGGTATGTTTAATTTCAACTGTATAGTTATTTTTTGTCACTCAAAAAGACAAAAGGTACTAAAAATGGAAAGGAATTCTATCCAAACTAGAACTGAGGTGGGACTGCAGCCTGAACCATTGTTGGACAGACTACATTTAATCGCTTTATTTTTATTTAAAAGTTCCTTTTTGAATGTTTGTCATGTTTTACATTTTAGCATATTTTATTTTAGCTAAAATGTGCTACATTTTAGCATATTTAAGTTGTGATTTGGTTATGACAAATGGCTGTGCATTTTGCTTTTAATGCGCTACCCCTTTTAAATGCTGACTCCAATATTTGGGTTTCATTTCCTATTTGCGTTTGATGACTTTACTTTTTAAAAAATCATTGTACAATGCCTGTGTGTTTTATAGAAAATCATGGCAATTTATTCTTACAAATCTTACACCATACATCATCCTGCATTCAGGAAACAGAAAACCAATGCCATGTACTGCAACCTATTCTCTCAGGCTCTGATATTTAAGATTAATGCATTGTCTCTTGATTTAAGAGTGTCTGCTTCAGGTGCTGCCCCTGCTTGAAGTGCCTTGGTCGATCGCACACGGTCTGTCCTCATTCCAGAAAATAGGATGCTCTGGAGCAACCTTTCTGCAGCTGGTACCCCCAGAGGCACTGGCCTGCAGCTACCCCCATTGCCAGATGAGAATCCAGCTAATGGAGGCACAGTTGGTGCTCTTGCAGACAGCAGGGGCCTGTCTTTGGTGTTTTACATAGATGAAATGAAGGCTCAGAAAAGGGCAACTCAGGGGCTGGAAGCCCACACTTGTTGTTTAATCACAAAGTCGTGTCTGACCCATCGTGAACCCATAGACAACATTCCTCCAGGCTCTCCTGTCCTCCACCATTCCTTGGAGTCCACCCAAGTCCACCCCCACTGCCCCAGTGACTCCATCCAGCCACCTCAACTTCTGTCGTCACCTTCTGCTTTTGCCAACAATCATTTCCAGCATTAGGGTCTTCCCCAGTGAGTCCTTCCTTCTCATTAGGTGGCCGAAGTATTTGAGTTTCATCTTCAGCATCTGGCCTTCTAAAGAGCAGTCAGGGTTGATTTTCTTTAGGATTGACTGGTCTGATCTCCTTGCAGTCCAAGAGACTCGCAGGAGTCTCTCCCAGCACCACAATTCAAAGGCCTCAATCCTTTGGCGCTCAGCCTTCCTTATGGTCCAGCTTTCACAGCCATACATTGCAACTGGGAAAACCATAGCCTTGGCTATACGCACTTTTGTTGGCAGGGTGATGTCTCTGCTTTTTAGTATGCTGTCTAGATTTGCCATAGCTTTCCTCCCCAGGAGCGTCTTTCAGTTTCTTGTCTGCAGTGATCTTGGAGCCCAGGAAAATAAAATCTGTCACTACCTCCATTTCTTCCCCATCTATTTGCCAGGAAGAGATAGGACCGGATGCCATGATCTTAGTTTTCTTAATGTTGAGTTTCAAGCCAGCTTTTGCGCTCTCCTCCTTCACCTGCATCAAGTGGCCCACACAGCCCAGTTAAATTATAGGATGCATTTCCACAAAATATAGTGACAAGCATCCACTTGGATGGCTTTAAAGGGGACTGGACACTTTCATGGAGGAGAAAGCTATTGGTGGCCACTAGTCCTGATGGCTATTTCCGGTATCAGGCTGTGTGCCCCTGTATACCAGTTGCTGGGGAACATGGGCAAGAGGGTTCTGTTCCGCTCCTGCCCTTCTTGTGATTTTCACATGGGCAGCTGATTGGGACACTTTGCAACCACCACTCTGGATGAGAGACCTGAGCCTCGCCTTTTTAATATGTGGTGAGAGCTGTAGCCCAGCAAAACTGCAGAGCGCCAGGTTGGGGAAGGCTGCTCATTTCGGGGACCGGCTGCCTTTATTTTGCACGTCCCCCACCACCAACGGTGCTTCTGGGGGCTTCACTGTCCATGGAGCAAGACAGCCGCCTTGGCTCCCCACCGGGAATTTAAAGGCACTGTCTGCAGTGCTGAAAAGGAGGAGGTTTGGCGTCCTGAATAGCTCCCTCTCCAGCGCTTGCTGTCAATCTTGTTCTCTTGCCTTCTCCTCAGAGTCCACCCCGAAGGCCGATTGCCGCGACCCGTCTGTGAGGATGCTCCTCTGCAGGGTTTTCAGCATGGTGGTGCTTCCCATCAGCCTCGTCCTGCTAGTGACAGCGCTGGTCACCAATCACTGGCTGGTGGCCTATGGGATTAAGTCTTCCATGTACAGTGGGCTCTGGCAGGAATGCAGGGACGGACAGTGCACTGCGCCAGCTACACCTTTCGGTAAGGGGCGTGGGTGGGGAGGCTGGCAGCACCACCAACGACTCCCTGTGCACGACCAGTGCAGCCTGGTGGTGGAAGTGCTGAACGGGGATGGAGAAGACTCAGCTGCTGGCTCCCCCCTGGCCGTGACGACTCCTGGGGCCAGAGGGCCAGTCAGCAGCTCTCACCCTGAGCTACTTTGCTGGGCTGCGGTGAGGATAAAACGGAGAGGAGGCAGCTCAGATAGACAATTGGGTTCCGTGCAAAAAGGAAAGGAGGGTGCAGAGTCTAAATGTAATCGTAAGTGCGGAAATAGAAACACAGAAACAGAGCGAGTCAGAAGGGGTCTCCCCGCCATCTAGTCTAAAATTTAAAATAAGTGCATGAATGTGCTAGCCTTAATGATGACGAGGAGCCTATCTACCCCCACAGACCTGGGTTAATCATTGTGGCATACAAAGAAAAAGAGGACTTCATGCACACTTTGCAGAACCCTCGTTTGCCCGGGTACCAGACGACTGGGCACCATGCAGTTCCAGGCGTCGAGGGGACCTTGGAAAGATGCTCTCCTTGAGAAGGTGCTCCTCTTCCTGCTCCTGCTGTGACCCCTTCTCATTGGCACGCCCTTTCTCTTTGGGCCAGACCCACAGTACTGCCCAGTGAGGAATTTGCACATAGCCGGGGTGCAGTGCTGTGCTTGATGGCTGGGGAACACTGGGAACGGTAGGACCCCTTGATGTCTACCATGCCCAGGATGTTGCCCTTGGAATCAGACATATTTAGGCTCCTCTGTATGTACTTAAAGCACACCTCCCACAATCCCACAGGTGATTTCCACCCAGTGAGGCCGCTGACTGCTAGCTCAATGGGGATACTTATGCACTGCAACTTTTATTCTGGGCTTTATAGCAGCTGCACGTGACATTCTGTGCTGGCAAACCTTTCTTGGGGATGGCATTCAGCCCCCTGGATAGCTCTGCAGGATAAAACCTGTGACCTAGGACCCAGCAGCCTCTGAAGGTCCATCCCCTGTGGCCGGGAAGAGCACTGGCCACATGGCACGCACCCGCCAGGCCTCCCACACGCCCGTGAAACCACCCTCTGTGGGGGGACTGGCAGGCAAGCATGGAGCACCTCTGCACCACGAGCTGGGGACACCTTCCCCCGTCCACTGATAGACTAGTGGGAAGGCATGGCCAGTGGGTTCATTGGCAGCAGGGTGCGGGGTGGTCCGTGGAGGGCTGCCTGTGCCTCCCCTGAACTCTCCTCTCCGTCACCACCCAGTAAAGCCTGGGGTCTAGGCTTCCAAAGGCCTCACAGGAAAAACAGCTTCCCCAAAAGCTAGCAAAGAGGAAGAACCCTTGAGTTGCAGGGGAGGTCATTCCACAGCCTCGGGGCCAAAGTTGTAAAGGCCCAGCTTCTAGCAGCAGGTGTTCATATGGCGCGCAGGTAGATAAAACAGGAGCAGGGCCAGGTTTGATGAGGACTTGCTTGTGACGTGGCTGGTCCCAGAAGGGCAAACTGCAGCACGGGAATCAGCTTCTTGGTAGGCAGCCTGCTAAGCCAGTGGCTGAGAAATCGCAACCACAGTTGGGTTTGGAAGCTACGAACAAGCAGCCCCCCACCCCCCCCCCCCGCTTCTGACACCTGATCCTCTTCCTGTGCAGAAGTGGAAGCGCCTCAGTTAAATTGGTAGATCAAACTGTCAAAGCATTAGAGTAGCCTGCCAAGTTGTTTCCGGTGTAATACTTTGCTAAGGGACGAAATGACAGACAAACCTGCAGTTAACATTTTGCGCCCTTCACTTTGCCCACAGAATACATCATCGCCACGCGCGCGTTCCTGATCTTGGCCTCTCTGCTGGCTTTGGGATCAGCCCTCTTCCCCTTCTTCTCCTTCATCCCTGCCCCTTGCGGCAACAGAAGAGCAGCCCTCTATTCTGCCGTGGCTTCCCTCACAGCCGGTAGGTATGCCCAATGTCCAAAGGAAAAGTTCCTGGGCAAGGTGGGGGGAGGGGGTGGCGCCAGGTGGGCATCCTCCGCTGAAAGAGCATGCGTGCTCCACGGACTGGAGCATGGGTTCCTACATGGAGTGCAAATGGTCAGGAGGACATAGGTCTTTCCCTCTCGTGCCGAACCTCAAGACGAGTATGCTTGACGCATGCATCTCCACTCTGAAGGCTAACGCGTTTTGCTGTCGTGAGCTCTCCCCCTGGGAGCCGCAGTTCCATGAGGCATGCCATATCTTGGGGGCTGGGAAGAAGAATGGCAAGGAAGTCATTCAGATTCAACAGGGAGTGCAGTGAACTTTCCCAGCACGCAGAGGCCAGGATCACTTCATGAAGCCATGTCCTCTTGACCTTCAGTTGGGTCAAGAGCAAAAGGAAGAGTAATGAGGGCCTCAAAGCTGGCTTCCTCATCCTTCTGTAGATAAGGGCTGCTTTTGCTGTCGGAACAAAGCTGTGTGCTTTACGGAAGCACCTTCGCCGCCACCACGACCACCCATCTCCCAAGAACTTATGTGTACCAAAACCTTCTGAAATAGAGAAGAAACTCATACAATCCATTGCAAGAAGCATTACCTTTTGTTCTCATCTTGGGGAGAGGAACAGATGTGCCACAAAAGCAACTCTGGAGGCTCCTGGAGCATCTCCTGGCCTATTCAGGGAACCAATCCGGCCACAGAAAAGGGGAGTGTAAATTGTTAAGCAGGGCTTTGCATCCTGCGGAGCCTCCTCAGCTGCTAGTTTCTGCTTTAGATAGGTTGCCACGGGTTGTTGCCTACCTGCCTGCCTTGCCACCACTCTGAGCTTGGCCCTAAAGGGACCCCTGGGGAAGAAAGGGGCCTGTGGAGTCAGCGCAGTGAGGCTCCTTCGGGAGTGTCCTTGCGAGAACGGCTTCCAGCTGAACGGCTGGACAGACGGCCCTGAAGCCCTTTGTCTGGGGCAAGGCAGAAGTCCGCTCTGCAAGGCAGGGCAAGCCACGGTGCAATGCCGCCGTCACCGGATGGGGAGGGTGCCTGGGTGTATCTGCCCTTCGTCTGCAGCACTGACCTCCTTTGTCCTCCTCTGCAGGGCTCTTCACGCTCATTGCTGTAGCTGTGTACACCGCGGAAACCTGGAGCAAACCTACAGACCCTCAGGTCTACATCAAGTATGAGTGGTCCTTCTACCTCGGCTGGGCCGCTTTTCCCATGCTCCTGCTGCCTGGTGAGCATACGGACTACAGGGGGAATGGCGCAGGGGCAAGGAAGGCCCCAGAGGTGGGGAAGCCAGTGTGCTGCAGGGGGATGCTTCCTCTGGTGGCTGTTATCAACAGGGGGCTGGTGACCACCCCCATGCATGTGCAATGGGGCTGGAGGGCATGTGGCTTAGACCCACGAACTGCCTTGGATGGGTTCCTCTGCCACACACACACACACACACACACACAGCACCATGCATTTGGTGAGCTGAGAAGAGACCGTATGCCTACAGGGAGACCCACGTACAGAGCTCCTTCACACACAGATGGCCACTGTGTGCATGCAGAAATGCACGTGCGGAGCTCCTTCATATGTGGCTCCTTTCCAGCTGGAGCCTATGGATGCATGGAGAGCCACGTGTAAAGCCCCCTCACACACGGGGTCTCCTGAATGGACGCTCTATCTATGCAGGGGTCCACATCTGGATCTGCTTCACAGTCACAGGTGGCTGGTCCTCGCTCTTCTGGCCTCAGTGGAGGGGGGCCCTTTGGCAAGGGCTTCCTCGGATCGTCTGAGAGCCGCCTCCCCCTGCTGAGCTCTTCAGAAGGTTTGGACTTCCAGCTGTCCTTGGCCCCCCTGGCTAGACCTCGTGGGAGCTTCATCCAACACATCTGAGGTTGGGGCAGGTTCACCCAGGAGGCTCTGTAGTGCCCTAAAAATCTTGCTCAGGCTGTTCTTCTTGTCATCACTCCCATCTGCACAGAGTCTCTGGACAAGCAAGGAAGCCTGGGCGATGTGGGGAAGGGAACCCGTGTGTGCTTGTTGGACTTTTCCCATGGGTGCTTTAAAGAAAAGTATTTCTTTCCATCTGCCAGAAAAAACGCTGTCCATGTTCAGAGGCGTTTGGCCCTGGGGGAAGGCAGAGTTTTCGTCAATGGCATATGCAATGGAAGCAGGTCGCTGGTCCAGTTTTACGAGCCCTTGGTTTGTATTTCTTTCCCTCTCTCCTTGGCAGGCATATCCAGCCTCATAACCTACTCGTACTCCTCAGATTCTGCCTATGAACAGCTTTGATCAGAACCTGGATCCAAAGGAACAACGGGGCCCTTCCAGTGGAGACACCAGCCCAAAAGGAAGCTTGCGCTCTGCCTCCCCTGTGCCTATGGAAATCCCCTCCACCGCAGTCCCGACTGCGTTCTCTTCCTTCCTTCCTTCACGCTGCTGCACACCAGAAATGTTTGCCGAGTCCCCTCACAGGCAGCAGACAGCTTGCAGACCGTGGGGCACCGAGGCATTTTTAACGGCAATGTGACCCCTGACCCCTGGCATATTTAATGCCCGTGCCAAGCTTCCCTCCTCCTGCTCTTTCTGCCAAGATAGCCTGGATTTCTTCAGACCTGTTGCATTGCAACTTTGTTCTCTCTCGCATTTTTCTGAAGGTAGATATATCAGTGTGTGCTAAACTTGCGGTACTAGTCCGGGACTGGAAGGAACGGTTTCAGCAGGCTGTTGGGGAAGGAGAAAGACCCTTCAGGAAAACCCAGATATCCTTCAATAGCTTCCCTGCCTCCCACCCACTACCATGTCGTCTCTCTTTCTTTGATTTGCAAATATCCCTCCCTTCAAATAAAGTCTGAGGTTTCTTTACAAGCCTTATCCATTGTCTCCTTGTCTCCTTATGCAAGAAATCGTTGGATCGCCATGTTTTGTATATTGTCCTCTTTTCCTCTGCTGCTTGCTTGCTTGCTTGCTTGCTTGCTTGCTTGCTTGCTTGCTTGCTGGTGGTAGCTGGGGCCAAAGAAGATCTGTATTCCTGTTGTGTTTCGATTTATGCAGGTGCCTCATACAGATTTAAGCAAAGTGCTGTTGGGAAGGCATGGATAAGAGCTACTGTATCTGTCATTAAAGGTTTCCTGTTCTCAAAAGTGCCTCTTTTACTGCTGCCTGTTGATCCCAGGAACTGGACTTCTATTAAAAATTGAATTACTCTTTGAATAGCCTCTTGTAAATGCCTCTTGGGCTGCCATCCTGTACCTATTTCCTCTTTGGCCCTACTTAACTTAATAGGACTTTATTTTAAGTTTGCAGGAATAGAACTGCACTGTTTGTTTGTTTGTTTATCTGCATTTCTATACTGTGCCAATAGCCCATAGGGTCTCTCAGGGCAGTGTACAATTTACAACATATACATCACAATAAAAATCTAGCAATAGAACAGACCAATAAAAACCACTAGAAAGTGCAAAGAACCCAACAATAAATAACTACAAGAGTCCATAAATTAACCCTGTGCACAGCGGCAATGATAAAACAAGTCTAAAACTGTTTATCATAAAATATTACTAGATCTAATCTTTATGCTCCATGGATGCACAAATTATTTAATTGTGCCTGGTTTACAAAAGAGCTGCAGAGGGGCTACTCGTCAAATTTCACCACTATTCCCTTTATGCCAGCCTTGAACTGAAGCAGCAGCTCTGCTCGCATAAGCTTTGCTGGCTGGAGAAGAGCCAGGCTCCGGGAGAGCATTGCACCCATCCTCTGCACCCAGCATAGAAACCAAGCTTGTCGCTGTCGTGCACATGTGCTTGGAGGAGAGTCCCGTGCGCCCACGAGAGCCTGAAGGTGCAGGTGAGGGCTAGAGCGCCGGACTGGGAGAGGAGGAGCTGACCATCGGTCCAGCACCAGCACAGCGTTCTCACCCCACTTCTCTGGGTGTTATGGCTAGAACTGGGACAGGCGGTGAATCGGCCCCGGGGGGGCAGGCCGAGGCAGCACAGGATGGGAACACCTCACGGATGGACAGGGGCTTCATACTCCTCTTACTGGTGAGAACGACGCTGGTAGGGAGCAGGCTAGGGGGACTCCAGAGATTATTTGGGATGCTCGATCGCGCATGCGCACGCAACGGCAGGGGCAGTTGGAGACACGATTCGAGGAGCGGCGACAAGTGCGAGTCCAAAGCACACCGCCCCCCAGGGATCGGCCCCGAAGGGTTCGCAAGCAAAGCGTGGGGTGACGTTCGTCGGAGCGAGAGGCCACCTTTCTAACTTGAGTGGGCTATTGGCGTTGTGGATACTTTGCGGCCATTCGGAATGAAGACTCTTGGAAGTTGCTGGAGTGATCGCCTTCGTTGGGAAGCCAGGGGTGCCTGGCTCACGACAGCAGCCGTCAGAAAGAAATCCCTTCTTTTGCACCCATGGGGCCACCGTTTCGTGGCAGAGGAGCTCTGCCTCCCATGTTGAAGGCACCAGTTTCAGTGCCCGGCATCCACAGGAAGGGCTGGAAAAACCCCTTCCTGGAGCCCTGGAGACCTGCTGCCCATCAATGTCGACCATGCTGGGCTTGATGGACCAAAGGGCTAACTGCCTATGTTCTTGAATGCCCACAGGCTCTAACATCTCCTCCCCTTCTGGTCTCCGGCAGCCTAGCACAAGAATGAACCGCCGAGAATACTACCTCCAGGCTGGTAACGTCAGTGGCCTTACTTACAAGGCTGGGCCAGGTGGAAAGCATCAGCGGTCCCAGGAATCCAGGGCAGTTACGGAATGCTGGCGTTACTATGGGAGCAGTGCTGGCCCATCCTTCCTCCCTAGAGCCGTATTGGTCAGGGACGCCCATGGACCATCCCACCTTGTTCTCCCCAAAGGCAGTGGGTGCTAAAGCTTGGCGAGGATGGGTGGGTGTTGCAGCTGCCCCGGGATGCCCTCCGCTGTGGACAGCTGCCTCTCTGCCATCTGCGAATGGTGCCTCTTCGCGTGGTTCAGAAGCCTGGAAGGCACTGGGCAGCTTCGCCTGGGTGGCGTCGTCCTCTCTTGCATTGCTGCCTGCCTGTTGGCGATCGCGATCTCAACAGAATTCTGGGTCAGGCGATTTTCCCGGGGGATCTTTATATTCCGGGGGTTGTGGATAGACTGCCGGCTGGGGAAATGCACCCGTCCAGAGCAAAGGCCATGTAAGAGCCCCCAAATCCTCAGACTTCTGACCAAGAGATCACTCTGAAGGCCCAGATAGTGCTCCTATAATAATGGATCCAAGGAAATACTCTCCTCCTGAGAGCGAGGGCAGAGAAGACACATTTAGAGAGTGGAATGGGGAATTGGATGTTGTCTCTACCTCACTTAAAAATGGTTGTATTTTCCTGTTTCTTCCCCCCCCCCCAACTATTTCCTGGGGTGGGCTCTTGGGGTTGCATGTTGGAGAGAAGGTTTCCCAGATTTGTAAAGTAGTAAACTCAAAGGATAGAACAAAACTGGCTATGGAAGGCTCTGATTGGTTAGTATCCATGCTGATCCAACATGCAGGTTTGTGGATTAGCTTGGCAGTTGTTTTAAAGCGGTCTCTCTCTCTCTCTATCTCACATGCACACACCGGGGGGGGGGGG